GATTGTCAGATTATGTTTCAAAAGCCATGGGTGAAAAATTGGTACATGTTGTGTACGTCGATTTTACCAGTTTTGAAAGTATGCCTACCTCACTGCAGACTTATCCATCAATTAAAACTTCGTGAAATTCATGCATCCCCAGTGACTTGATTACGAAGCCAGTGAAATGGTGGAAGGCAAAGAGTGGCATCCATGCAGTCAAACTGTATAAACACGCGCTTCGGTATCGATGGATGGGAAGTGGCATGACATGTCTACAGGATGACTCACTTGGATATCGCTTGGATACCGCTTGGATGCGACCACCTAGTACCGGTTTCTCAACATCATTGGGAACCAAACGAGAGGCCACAAATTCAAACTCAGGCGCAGAAAGCGTGGCAGGAAACTTTGACAAATGCGGTTCGTTGTCAGTATTGTTAAGTTTTGGAGCCAGCTCTCCCATGGCGTCGTGAAAATTCCTTCTTAGCATTATTTTAAAACACACTTTGATCGCCAGTTGGCGAAAATAGCGTTATTTTAAAGCAGACAGCCGCCCCCACGTTGAAATCCAACCTTCGACTTGGGAGGGGGGAGGGGGGGGGGGAGAAATGATGGATGCGCTTGTTCCAGTTCCGTTCCAGTGCACCGCCTATGGTTTGCGTCACGCGTTTGTCATGTCGATTTCTGCAATCTTCCTTTTGTTTTGAATTCCTGCGTGATGTGAGGTTTTTACTGGGCTGTCAATTACCTGTTAAACCTAGTTTTTGTTCACATAACGCTTTTTGCTCTTAAGTTTGCTTGCGTGGCGGGGAAGTTCTCTCGGGATGCGAACGATACACAACCAGGAGCATGCCCACCCAGAAGCTCTGTGTATGCTTAGATAACTTGAGTGCGCGGTGTACTGTGGAGTAGGTGCTACCTATCCCGTTACCGTCCGAAGATTATATCAGGTCACAAGCACGTGCTGGTCGCAGTGTCTCTACCAAGGGGGTAGCCATCCACTCCCAAAGTCCCAGAAGCCACTGTTGTGGCGTTGCCACTGGCGACTGAGGTGACTGCGCGTTTTGGTGGGCGCCGACAGTGTGTTGGTTAACGCGTCTGCGTTAACCACTGCGCGTGTGGGAAATCAGAGAAACGGGGCTCGGTTCCCCGCAGTGCCCGCCCTTCTGCCATGGTGAGAGGCAGGCAACGCTATATAGCCTCATCAGCTGGGTGCGTCGTAATGCCCTAATGATAACAACAACATGCGCGGCTTGATACGTCACAGGCACGTCTTGCCAACCCACGTGTCCCCAAGACCCAGCCACGACTCGGCTGGCCTCCAGCGGTACCTGCTAACACGTCCGCCGCGTCATCCTTGGCGTGCTTGCTCGTTTTCGGGGTCAGAATGACGACGACTGGGACACTTGTCTCTTCTACCCCTGGGCTACCATTCCCGAATGTATTCGACGGCCGGTTCCAGTCCTTACCAGCTGATGATGGGATAGCATCACGATGTCCGACCGATGCCAGTCCGGGGCGCCGTTGACTGGAGGCACAAAGCATCTCGAGCGAGCGTAATACGGGAGCACAATGTTATGGCCTGCAGCATGCATTTGGTCTTGTATTCATCGACACCAACCTACCCGCCCTTGCGAATCGCGAACTTTACGACCGTAGCTACCCACTGCCCAATGGACGCCGTGTGACTTGTTTTGAAAGTGCTCGCAAAAGGCGATTATCATACATGTGTTCCCTTGGAAACCGGCGGTCGTCTTGTCCGCGCAGTGGGCTTGGTCAAAACTGGTTAGCTGAATTACCGTGTCGATCTCAGCGGCGTCCTTGGCCGTGAGACGATGGTGCGCCACGGCCGGCTGAGGCCAGTGACCAGAGGTGGTCGGTGAGACAGAGCTGTAGCGACCAGTGACCAGAGGTGACTGGTGAGACAGCGCTGCAGCGGCCAGTGACCAGAGATAGCTGGTGGGACAGCGCTGCAACGACCAGTGACCAGAGGTGGCTGGTGAGACGGCTCTGCAGCGGCCAGTGACCAGAGGTGGCTGGTGAGACAGCGCAGAGACGGCCAGTAACCAGAGGTGGCTGGTGAGACAGCGCAGAGGCGACCAGTGACCAGAGGTGGCCAGTGAGATAGCGCTGCAGCGGCCTGTGACCATAGCCGGTGAGGCAGCGCTGCAGCGGCAAGTGACCAGAGGTGGCTGGTGAGACAGCTCTGCAGCGGCCAGTGACCTGATGTGGCTGGTGAGACAGCGCAGAGACGGCCAGTGACCAGAGGTGACTGATGAGACAGCTCTGCAGCGGCCAGTGACCAGAGGTGGCTGGTGAGACAGCGCAGAGACGGCCAGTGACCAGAGGTGGCCAGTCATACAGCGCTGCAGTGGCCAGTGACCATGGCCGGTGAGGCAGCGCTGCAGCGGCCAGCGACCAGAGGTGGCTGGTGAGACTGTGCTGCAGCGGCCAGTGACCAGAGGTGGCCTGTGAGACTGCGCTGCAGCGGTCAGTGACCAGAGGTGGTCGGTGAGACTGCGCTACAGCGGCCAGTGACCAGAGGTGGTTGGTGAGACTGCGCTACAGCGGCCAGTGACCTGAGGTGTCTGGTGAGACAGCGCAGAGGCGGCCAGTGACCAGAGGTGGCTGGTGAGACAGCGCAGAGACGGCCAATGACCAGAGGTGGCTGGTGAGACAGCGCAGAGACGGCCAGTGACCAGAGGTGGCCGGTGAGACAGCGCAGAGACGGCCAGTGACCAGAGGTGGCTGGTGAGACTGCGCTACAGCGGCCAGTGACCTGAGGTGGCTGGTGAGACAGCGCGGAGACTTTCAGTGACCACAGGTGGCCGGTGAGGCAGCGCAGAGACGGCTAGTGACCAGAGGTGGCTGGTGAGACAGCGCAGAGACGGCCAGTGACCAGAGGTGGCCGGTGAGACAGCGCAGAGACGGCCAGTGACCAGAGGTGGCCGGTGAGGCAGCGCTGCAGCGGCGATCGGAGCCGGTCCTCACGTCCGGTCCGCGTGACGGACAGACGACTGTTTATCGTCTGCGGACGGCCCGGCTCGGACCATCGTGACCGGGCAGGAGACGGCGGCCGAACAGGATACGGCCAGCCGGCGGCGGCGGCCCCTGTAGCCACATTCCCCAGACTCTCACAAAATCCGCAGCAGCCGTTTGTGGTTCCGGAGTCTACCTCAGGTCCGGTGTTAGAAGGACGCCAACCGGTTCCAGTTGTGCAGTTGTCTCCCATGCGACGTTACCGCATTTCGTCTCCGTGGGTGGAACCCTCTCCACCCCCTCGGCTGCGTATCACCTATCAGGCATCTCCTGTCTTTCGGTCCCATGTGCTGATTCCGGTGCCGACACTCGGTGATCAGGTCACTTGCCTCCACCAGGATCGAACGGCCCGTGACAAATGTGTCATTAGTTGCCTGCATCAGTTGACGTGCTTTCCGTAGCAGTGTCCCGTTTTGCCCGTACACTCGTCTCCTTGTATCGGTTTGTCTGTGTTTCTCGGTGCCTTTTGTTCTTTTCGTTGGTTTCCATGCTGTCGCCCTGGGGCCAGCTGAGAGCGTATCCGGCTGGAGACTGATCGAGATTGCTGGCTGTGCTGCCGGGCAGTACGTGATTTCTAGCGTAAGCAGACGGTTCATTTATCCTGTACTTGCATTGCTAAATGGGACAGATAGAACCTACAAGTACCAGGTTATGTCATATGCATATGTATTTTGCATTCCTTTTTCCGTGTAGTTAATTTTCTCACGCTCGCTGAGGCAAGGGATACACTATGCGTGATACGTGGTCGTGATCGTGATCGAAGCATGATGTGCAGTGCCCTGTAAGTAAGGGCTTAGTTTAGCTTCCCGGTTATGTCCGCGCAGCTCCGGTAGGGGCGCTGAGATCGCCACTGCAGGGACCGTGGGTGGCGATTCGCGGCCCGCCCGGGGGCGGGGGGGGGGGGGGGGGGGGGGGGGGCTCGCTGGGCCAGCTTGGACGCGGTACAGACTCGGCGCTGCCGTGGTTAGTGCTGGTGTGCTGGATAAGCCCAAGGAGAGCAAAGAACTTGCACATGTTTGGGAAGGGAAGGTTATATCATTATTTTTTTCCACATGATAGCTAATGAAGCATTATTTACCATTTTTTATGTCCTTTGCGTAATCGTGTACCAGTCGTTGAGTCCAAGTGCTGTCACGTGCCTGTTCAGCTGTTGCTGTGTTTCTGCCTTGGCTGCCAATGTTACAGTACGATTTCAGTTGTCAGAAGATGGTTTTTGTCATGAGACCAAGGGCAGATTTTCCTAGTGTTGCCATGAGGCTGTGGTCGGCAGGTCCTGGCATTACCGTATAGCCGTGGTGAGCAGGTCCTGGCATTACCGTGCAACCATGGTGAACAGGTCCTGGCATTACCGTGCAACCATGGTGAGCAGGTCCTGGCATTACCGTGCAACCATGGTGAGCAGGTCCTGGCATTACCGTGCAACCATGGTGAGCAGGTCCTGGCATTACCGTGCAACCATGGTGAGCAGGTCCTGGCATTACCGTGCAACCATGGTGAGCAGGTCCTGGCATTACCGTGCAACCATGGTGAGCAGGTCCTGGCATTACCGTGTGACCGCGGTCAGCAGGTCCTGGCATTACCGTATAGCCGTGGTGAGCAGGTCCTGGCATTACCATGTGGCCACGGTCAGCAGGTCCTGGCATTATCGCGTGGCCGTGGTCAGCAGGTCCTAGCATTACCATGCGGCCGTGATCAGCAGGTCCTGGCATTACCGCGTGGCCGTGATCAGCAGGTCCTGGCATTACCGCGTGGCCGTGATCAGCAGGTCCTGGCATTACCGTGTGACGCTGGTCGGCAGGTCGGAGCGTCGCCGTGTGACCGTCGGCCGCGGGTAGAACGCGTGATGGACGTGGACCCAGTGCTGACGGCGGGGCCGGCCGGCCCGACTGCCGGCGGCGGTGGCGGTGGCGGCGGCGGCGGCGGTGGCGGCGGTGGCGGCGGTGGTGGCGGTGGTGGCAGCTGCGGTGGCAGCGGTGGCGGCGGCGGTGGCAGCGGGGTGGCGGCCGTCGCCACTCTTAAGCGCTCCTCCAGCGCGCCCATGATCAACGAGCTCGTCTCGCAGGCGCAGAGCACCAGCTCCGCCTCCTCCAGGTGAGGTTAAGAGGACGGCGACGCTTGCGATGTTGTGAGCGCGTCGCATATTGTGGGTAGCGATGAGAGCTGGACGTGGATCAGACGTCGACCTTCCTACTCTGGGGTGATGAGAGAGCTGTGGGCATGTGGTGGACTGTCGATCGGTGTGTGCGTCAGCCGGACGCCGACCGACAGTGCGCTCGCCGGCAGGGGCCTGGGCTCGCCGCCGCTCGTCTTCTCGGCTGGCTCGGGGTCGACGCACAACCCGCGCGTCCGCCGCTTCAGCGCCAACTTCAGCCCGCTCGCCGCGCCCAGTGTGAGTAGTGGCCTGGAAGCGGGGCCGCCCCGCCCGGCTCGCGCCCCGGGCCGCGCCGCCGCCGCCGCCCTGCCACCGCGCTCGGCCCTCTGACTCGGGACAAATCGTCTGCCTCTCTGCGGTCATGCCATGTATTTGGGTGTCATTGTGATCGGTTGGTGCGCGCTCAGCGCTACGTCGCGGGGGCGGCCGGCGTGGACGATAACATGCCGACCGAGGCCGGCGCTGTGTGGCGGCCGGAGCTCCCCGGCGGCGGGCGTGCCGTCCCCCCCCCCCCCCCCCCGCCTGACCGGTGTCTCCGGGCCGCCGACAGTCGCCGGGCAGCAGCAGCGGCGTGCGCACGCCGTCCCGCCTGATGCAGATCCGCCAGGAGGCCGGCCTTGAGGACCCCGAGATCCGGCACGAGCGCAGCGTGCACGCCGCTCTCCAGATGTCGCTCAGCTGCGAGGACCTGGCGCTGGTCAGTCGGGGCGGCGGCCCCGGGCTCCGCAGACGGCGGCCGCCGCTGCCTGAGGAGGGATATGCGACGCGCGTGGTCAGCGGGCGCTCGGCCCTACCCATGTCAAAGGGCGTTGGCACCGCCTGCGCTGCCATCAAAGCTAGTCGTGCTAATGTGAAGCGAGGTGTCGCCACCGTCGTCGCCAAATTGTGCTGACGCCGGTCTCTCATCAACAAAACATGCTGGCTAGACCGGAGGATTCTGCTGTTTTTTTAGTCGGATGTTTGAGTCACTGGAATTTGTTCTTAAATGCTCGAACATTATACATAACTATTCAAGTGTCAGTACAGGCACCTATAGGATAGTAGGTGCGTCGTGGCCAAATGTATACTCGTATTGCGGACTCGGAGAAATCAGTCCAAGGAGGAAGACGATGTTGTGAAATCCCAGCGTGTAAAACCCGTCATTTTTCCTCTGCACATGTACAAAAGACAACTCAAATTACCGAATTTAGCACCATTTATATTTTGCTAACAAATGCACAGAAATTGTGACATTTCCCTGGAGGTATGTCGTAATACAGGCCTTGGTCCAGATATCTCAGTATTTCTGTGAAGTGTTGTTTTCAGCATAGGCCCCCCAGGAGTCTGGTGCACCTGCAGTGTTCTATTGGCATTGTGAAGCAGTTTGCCCACTCTGGAATGTAAACCCGATATGGGATGGGCCAGTGTTCGATCTTATCTACTGGGCCACAATAATGTCAAGGTCGGCCATGGATTAGATCTTCAAGTCGTATTGCATGTTTTTGTGGGCGCTTGTGTGCCATTTCAGGAGACATTCGACGGTTTCGGAGCATTCGAATGCTGATTTTGATGTTGGATCCGTCGAATACTTGAGCATTCTGAGGACGAGTGGTCAGCTGTTGCACTGATGCCGTCCCTGGCGCCACCACAGCGTGCTGGCACCGACTCCCACCTGATCAGAGATGGTGACACTCCTACTGACGCGCTGATGACGCTGCCCCCTGGTGGCCGGCAGAGCACGCGGGAAGACCCGAAGAAGGCGGCGCCGGTGCGCTCCGTGACGGACCCGCTGCACCTGACCATGCCGCAGCCGCAGCCGTTCTCCTTCGGCTCGTCGCCGTCGCCCACGCGGCCGGCCGGCACGCCGTACTTCTCCCCGCAGGTGGGGCGCGGCGGGCGGCGCCTTCCCGGCCGGACGACGCTGGTCGCCGCGCAGGCCGGTGTGGTCCTCGGTGCGGTTTCTTCCCCGCGTACTTTGCATGCTATTTGGGCATGTCCGTGATTGCTTTTCTCTTGTCTTCATCGTGTTCCATAGCCTCTTCTCCCCCCCCCCCCTTGCGACTGAGTGGTTTCCCTTTGCGCTTATTGTCTTCCGTGATCACGGTCTGTGCGTCCGACCGTGTCTCTTCCATGACCCCTGTCGTGCCGTGTGACTCATTTCCCGCCACGTGCTATTCTCGCGATTCCCCGGTCCTCCGTCTGACGCCGTTGCTGCTCGCTATGACCCCGGTCCGTGCCGGCGTGGGTGACCCGTCGGCGGTTGGCCAGATCCCGGAGCGGCTGCGCGGCCCCACCTTCAGCCCGTCGCCGTCGCCGTCTCCGACGCGCCGCTCGCCGTTCGCGGCGTTCGCCGGCCGCCGCAGCATGAGCCCCATCCTGCGGCCCAGCCCGCTGGGCGGCGCCGTCAAGCGCAAGTTCGACTACGACAAGGAGCGGCCGCCGGTGATCGGGCACAACAAGCGGTTCCACTCGGGCGGCGGCCTGCTGGCGCCGCACCCGCCCGTGTACAGGTGAGACGGCCGGCCTGCTGGCGCCGCACCCGCCCGTGTACAGGTGAGCCGGCCGGCTCGCTGGCGCCGCACCCGCCCGTGTACAGGTGAGACGGCCGGCCTGCTGGCGCCGCACCCGCCCGTGTACAGGTGAGACGGCCGGCTCGCTGGCGCCGCACCCGCCCGTGTACAGATGAGACGGCCGGCCTGCTGGCGCCGCACCCGCCCGTGTACAGGTGAGGTGGCCGAGCTGCTGGCGCCGCACCCGCCTGTTTACAGGTGAGACGGCCTGCTCGCTGGCGCCGCACCCGCCCGTGTACAGGTGAGACGGCCGGCCTGCTGGCGCCGCACCCGCCCGTGTACGGGTGAGGTGGCCGAGCTGCTGGCGCCGCGCCCGCCCGTGTACAGGTGAGACGGCCGGCCTGCTGGCGCCGCACCCACCCGTGTACAGGTGAGACGGCCTGCTCGCTGGCGCCGCACCCGCCCGTGTACAGGTGAGACGGCCTGCTGGCGCCGCACCCGCCCGTGTACAGGTGAGACGGCCTGCTCGCTGGCGCCGCACCCGCCCGTGTACAGGTGAGACGGCCGGCCTGCTGGCGCCGCGCCCGCCCGTGTACAGGCGAGACGGCCTGCTCGGACGCGGCGCGTGCTGTGCGCCGCTCGTGTGTGGTCGTCAGTGTCAGGCGTCACGTCGCCAGGACCGGTGTTATTCACCACGGGCGCCGTCCAGTGCTCACGATATGCACACGCTTCTATGTGCAGCCGACGCCGGCTCGGCATTCCCGAGATCCGTCTGGTACGCATCGTTATAAACGTTGAACTTAATAAACTAAACGACGATGTTGTTTAGTTTGTTTTCTGTGGCTTGATGATTCACTGTCTTGGTGTTTCTATGTGTCAGAAGTGTATAATTCAACCAGAGATCTGAAGTCCGGTTCTCTTAGACATGGCAAAGGGTCCGCTGTTGTCGTTAAAGACGACACAAGCTGTTCCGCGCGGATTGCCGGCTGCTCCCTTACTGTATCGATTGGAGACGTCACTTGTTTTCGAAATTTTTAACCATTACTAGCTCAGTGGGCACAGCACTTGTCTGCCATGACTGAAATATATATGGGACTGATTCCGGGAGCGAGTTCGACTTGTTCCGTGCAAAGCAGATGGACTGATTGCCTGGCTTTAAACGCGAGTGTAACAACTGTCGGTAGAAACTTTTTTTAAATGGTAGAAAAACGGGTCACGTCACTGATATGCCTCAGAATTACGCACGAATGTACGTTGAACGAGAATGTTTTCCAGCTTGTGGCGAAAGCTGTAAAGCTCCGAAGACCTCGCCGAACCGCTTGATAACTGAAACCCTGTCCCGCGCGCGGGTCGGCGGCGGTGGCTGCTGATGGCGTATGCGCTGCTGGCCCTCTGTCTCTTTCGGCGGCGGTGTCTGCTGGTGTGTGCGCTGCTGACCCTCTGTCTCTGTCGGCGGCAGTGGCTGTTGGTGTGCCCCCTGTCTCTGTCGGTGGCTGCTGGTGCGTGCGCCGTTGACCCTCTGTCTCTGTCGGCGGCAGTGGCTGTTGGTGTGCCCCCCTGTCTCTGTCGGTGGCTGCTGGTGTGTGCGCCGCTGACCTTCCGTCTTTGTTGGCGGTAATGGCTGCTGGTGTGCCCTCTGTCTCTGTCGGCGGCGGTGCCTGCTGGTGTGAGCGCCGTTAACCCTCTGTCTCTGTCGGCGGCAGTGGCTGTTGGCGTGTGCGCTGCTGGCCCCCTGTCTCTTTCGGCGGCGGTGGCTGCTGGTGTGTGCGCTGCTGACCCTCTGTCTCTGTCGGTAGCTCGACCGCGTCGGACGCGGCGCTGGGCGCCCTGCAGGGATCGGTCGGCTCGGTCGGCACGCCCGAGTCGCTCTCGTCGGTCGGCTCGCCGGGCCTCTCGTACAAGCAGGACGACTCGCCGCGGCCGATGGTGGCCGAGACGATGGACTCGTCGAGCGTGTTCCGGCCGGTCGAGTCGCCGCGCTCCTCCGAGCGCCGCCTCAAGGCCGACCATGACAAGATGGACGACGCGTGCGTTCCCATGGAGACAGGCGGTGGCGACAAGATGGTGGTGCTGGACGTGGCGCGCCCCGTCGCCATGGAGACGGGCGGCGGCAGCGGCGACGGCAAGGTGCCGATGGACACGGGCGGCCAGCGGCTGCCGGGCCACGCCCAGTACATGCGCCAGAGCATATAGAGCGGCGGCCGGTGGAGCCGCAGTGACTCGGGCTGACAGATCTGTGATTGGTGGGCCGGCTGCGAGGCCCGCCTGGCTTGTTACCGGCGCCGGGACGCCGCGGCGCTGCGGCAGCCCGCCGCGACGCCGGCCGCCTCGCGCCGGCGCGTGGCACCGCGGGCCGCCGGCCTCCTGTACAAAGTAGTCGTAGTCAGCGATCGAGCTTGCGCGTGCCGCCCGCCGGGCCGTGCGCCGGCGTCGGCCGGGCGCGCCGTCTCTGGCGGCCGGTCGCCCCCGTCGCCGCCGCCGCCGCCGCCGTCGACGTGGCGGTGGGACTGCCCGAAGGCCTGCGGCGGGGCGCTGCTCGGCTCGTCCTTGTTACCGGTGTGATACGTGGTGTGGTCTGTTCTGAGCGTTGTCTCGTGCCGTGTCTGCTCGCCTGATGCGGTTAGCTAGCGGCGCTGTCGGCCGCGGCAGTGGCTGGCTGCTCGGCGCGGTCGCTGGCTCGTTCTCGCGCCACTTGGCCGGGCCAGCTGGGGGTGAGCGGTCCAGATCTACTAAGCAGGTCTGGTGCCGACAATAGCTGGCAGTGGTACGCAGCACCCCCGTCTCTGGAAGTGAGTGGTGCTGCTGGGAAGCGTGTGCTCGTGCCACAGGCTGCGCTGCGCTCAGGCTGGTCTTGTCCGCAGCCCGCCGCCATCCAGAAGGCGCCCCAGTGCGATGAATGTGTGTCCGTGCGATGTGGGATCGCAGGCTTAATTTATTCTGGTTGATCTGAGGAGCGTCTAAGAAAAATCATGTGAAGGAAGTCCAGAACAACTTGCTAGTGTCGTCATCCCGCGTCCAGTCACCATAGCACCCTTGCCAACGAGCCACCCGTGGTGTGGCGGGCGCGCGAGCCACACAGCTGGGCAGGCCCCAGGCGCGCCGCGCCAGCCTCTCTGTACTCTGACTGCCCGGCCTGGCCCCGGCCAGCGCAGGGTCGGAGGTCAGTTCGGGCCGCCTGTCTGCACCCTGCACCCCCATCAACGCTTCATGGTACTGCTAGTCAGCTGTCGCCCCAGCCGCGCCCCACCGTCGCCCCGAGCTGCCTAGGGCGTCTCCGTGTCGCCCTCGAGGCGCGCAGGCCCCGCTGGTCCACCGTCGCAGGGGCGGCGCGGGCGGCTCCTGGCCCGGCCCCTGGCGTCGCGGAGACGCCTAGAGCGCGTGCCTGCCCACCAGGCGGTCGGTGCCGGTGTCGGTGTTTTTGACCATCTGTTCGTGTTTGCCCGTTCCGTGAGTTTGCTGAGTGCGGTGGTCACGTGACGAAGTGGACTCGGGAGTTGAATGGTGCCGAGTACGAGCGCCAGCCGGCCTCAGCCGCCGCTCGTCGCTCTCGCCTCCCAACCCCTCGCGAAGGGCTCACGCTCCGAGCCACGCTCGTTACTCGCGCGCGCATCAAGTACCTACCTTCTCGGGACAATATCAGCCGTGCTTTCAACCCAGTCCGAAGAAATATACATTTTTTTGAAAATGTTAAAAGCGTTTTTATGCGCAGCGGACGGAGGTTCGATACTGATCGAAAGTAAATGTCGTTAAGCAGCAGTGCGTGTAATGCAGCAGCAGCGCGGGGTAATGTTTGGTCGGTGTGTTGTTTCCGTACGGCGGATCTGTGCCGACTGCACGGGGGCGGTTGTGATACCAGTGACGTGATACTCCGTTTAGCAGGGGCGTGCTGTCGCGCTGATGCAGCTGCGCGCGGAAAGATGCGTCGCGCCTGGAGTATTCAGACTCGCTAGTCAGTGAGTGGGAACCAGGGCAGTGGTGCCGCGTGGCACGTTGTGGCGAGGGCGACGTAAAAGGGTGGCAGGGAAGCGCTTATCGATGGCTGAGGACATGTAGTGTGTATCCTGACGGAGGGGTGCTTGGAGAGATATCCCGTTCATTTCACTTCAAGACACGCGTCACCACGGGTGTGTGTGCAGCGTACTTGTTTAGAATGCGCCTTTTTCAGCGGCACCAACCCACGTCCGCAGCTGGCACAAGTACTTGCCATCAGCCACGACCCTCTAAGCTGGCTGTTTGAGACATTTTGATGTACGATCAGTTCACCCAAGACATGGCGCCTCTAGCCATGGCGATTTGCTCAGAGCGAAAGCAAAAGTATCCGCAGAGATCCTTTACGAAGAAACGATCTCCTAAGGGCATGACGTGTTTATAAAGTGGGTAAGGAAATAAGGCGTCCGCATGAGAACCTACGGAATAATTATTGAGTCACGACTTCAGGCAGAGCCTCAGCTTGAGTGTGTGATCCCGGGGGGTTGATGACCACATTCCCAGGCATGGCATGCCTCTGCCACGATCCACCGCACGCCCGGCGCCAGGCCAGCTTTCGCGTGGCCTCTGCGTCCGGGTCATCGTTCGTCGGTACCGCCGGCTGCCGCAGACGCCAGGGCCGAGCGAGCCTAGAAGCGACGAACCGATCGCGCCACCTGTCTCGGTGGCGCCATCGGCGACGTGGACAAAATTAGCTAAATGGAACAGTGTACCAATGGCAATCGATCCACTGGCTGTGATCTGATGAGCTAAATGGAACAGTATCGATGGGTATCGATCCAGGGGCGGTGATCTGATGTTGGGATGATGAACACGGCAGACTGCTGCAAACCCTAAGCCGATCCGATACAGGGCGATGATGCTTTCCCCAGCGTTCTCTCGGAACATCTAAATTCGCTTGCCGCCGATTTTCTCAGATTGCGCAACCAGTGGTACAGGCAAAGGGGCACAAGGGGCACGTACCCTCCCCCCAGGTTCAGAGGGACCTGAAGCCAGTTAGAGTGATTGTCAATTAAGCGGTCTTGGACAATGATCAGTGGTGCCCTGAATCGCGAAGGTACGTTACTCTTCAAGCTTCATCACCAGATTCCAGCGCCACTTCGCGGTGCTCCTAAGGTCTCGGGTGCCCTTCTTATCATCGATCTGAAAAACGCACAGGTGAAATTTACGCCCGGACTGCCTTGCACATATATGATGTGATGTCAAACTGTGTTCAAAAGTACTTCGTTGTAATGCGTTATCATTTTGGCCTCTGTTGACCATGGTTTAGTGTAAGCCGTGGGGCAACCCTGCGCGGCCTACGGAAATTGTAACGCCTAGTGTCGAGATTTTGTCGCTAAGATTTGCTAGCGTGCGTGTTCATAACTACAATTCATAAATTCGGTCACTGATCAATTTTGGCTGAATGTTGAACAACTGCAGACAAGTACGGCTTGGCTTTGCTCATACAAACTGTTGAGCGATTTCTGTCCACAATTTACATTGTCGGAGTACATTAATATTCATACAGGACCCATATCAAAATTCTGTCGAAGTTTCTGAGTTCTTTCGGCCTAGAAAGAGTCCACTGAGCCCTTGTAAAATGGAGAGTGCCGCCGATTTCTGTTATGTGGTCGGTTAACGCATGTATATCAGTTTATTGACTATTAAGTTCAAACAAAATTGATCTTGCGCAAGCTTTTGACTGTTTCAGTTATAGAGGGTAAAAATGAAAGAAAAACAATGGAAAACATGCCCTCATTAACAAATGGGCTATATCCAGCGAATGTTTTTTTTGGGGGGAAGAGCCTTTTACCATCAGGGGGCCCTTTGGCAACCTTATGTAGCGCCCCCCCCCCCCCCCTCTCCGCCAAGGCTCTGGCTGCGCCCGTGTGCAACCAAAGCTTGGAGGTCGGCAGATGGCGGACCGCCAATGCAGTGCCTACGTGAGACAATCCGCGGCACCTGGGCGTTCTCCCACGGCACTCTAAGGGGCACCTTGGCAGCCGTCCCAGCGGCCAGCATGAGCCACTAAGCGTGGGCCGACACGCATCGCTTCCGCTGCGTCTGCGCAGGTGCACGTGACCCGCTGACCCGCCAATGGGCCATCGGCCCGGCGCCCGCCACCACAGCCCAATGTCGTGTGAAGAGGCCGGGGCCTTTGACGCACGGGCAGTGACGTGCGCACCTGTGGAGCCTACTTTAACATGGGACCGACCTCACTACGGCACCGCCTTCTCCGCATGCCACCTCGGATTGTGCGGCGGTCGGGGTGCCACGTAAATCTGGGGGGGGGGGGGGAGGGCGCTGTCGTCCCGGCGAGGCTTCCTGAGCGCGCGCAGGGTAAGGGTGTGGCGAATCAAGGACTCGACGACGCAGCCGCCGCATTTTGTGATTCCATGGCAACCGACACGATGGTCGACGTAACGACTTTATGACAAATCTGCATGGATTAGATCTCGGTCAGAAACTATGGAGAATAGACAGATTGTTCGTTTGTTAACGATCATGAAACAATTAAATACCTTTGCGTAAATGCTCAACAAAAAAGGAGAGGCTTCGGTATCGCCGGGCCTACCGGGCCGGACACAATATTTGTGGTTTAACTTTTTCGGAAACGGCGAACTCGGCGGTATGCATGAGTTTTTAAAGAAATCGACAAAGGCTTAACAGTAAATAACCTTTCTTTCCAGTCGTGTTTTGGTTGCAGGGTTTAAAATGCGTTTCTATAATGCTGAGTGTTGCCTGATGTGTATAAGACACAAGTTATGCTTCCTGAAGATGCTTTCAGTGTGCCGCACGATTCTAGCAGTTCGCCGGACCAACCCATGTCTAGTATGTCTGTCGGGACTTTTTTATTATTTGATCCGAACCCTATGAATGGACGGATTTCCGGGATTAGAGCTCACGCTAAGCAGTGCTTATTGTGTGAGCCCTGACCCCTACCATACGATCGCGCAATTCCATGTCGACGGCAGAATTTGGTGGCGAAAGCTTAACGTGCCGCACTGCCCGGCACTGTCCGTCCTGCCCTCTGACGTCAACTGACCTTTAGCGCGACCGCTGCCGCCGGTCCCAGACCACACCTGTCAGGGGCAAACAGCGAGTGCCCTAAAGCGACTCGAACCAACCCCGCCACGGGTGGGTGGATCGGAAGGCAGGCGCTCTGATCAACTGAGCCACCCGGACAAGCATTATCGTTACATCATCTAGTTTACAAACTGCAAGACACCAGGCACGCACGCTTAATTGAGCTTCGGTAACAACTGATTCACATCTCAGCCAGACTGACCCCAGTTTAAGCCCAAA